TGTAGTATTTAAAAATACTTATAAAATGATATCGTCACTGTAAACAATTAAACGCAAAACAGATGGGGGTATCATGAAAAAGTGCATTTTTAATATGCATAATTGAGGTACTTGAAGAAGTGTTCCATACTTTACTTCCACGCGGTAATAGTCTGAAAACATATACCGTCTTATATCGTATAAAAATATGAAAGTTGGTAATTTCAACGCTAAATCTGAATACAAAACTGCAACAAATAGGTGCCTGTAATATTCATACTCCAACATTCTGTGATAATTTATCTTCAATGATACTTTCGTTATTTTCTAGTGATACAGCTTGATAATATACAATAAGTAGATAGGATGCAAATAGTGGCGGCTCTTGACTTCCGTACCAGGAGGGCGGAAAAATTTAGGTACAAAGTATTGAAAAAATAATAATTTTAATAAGTATTGGGTAGTTTTTTTTTAAGCACTATTGAAATATAAGGAAATGTGTTCAACATTATTTTCTATAATGTGTCCATTCATCTGTTTTTGTCGGAAATTGACTTTTCGGTTACAATAATGTCTGGTATTTCTCGCACCATTAATTTTTCTATATAGATAGCATTGCTGTTAATCTGTCTTTACAATCAATTTAAACTTTTACAATCTTTTTAAAAAACACACAAGAAGCAATACGCAAGTAACAAAATTTTACACCACACGTAAAAACAAATTACATTTACTTAATAAGAAAATAACTAGTATTTGGGTACGGTCGGACTAAACAGAACCCCAGAATAGAAAACTTGTGACAGAACCCAAACTGCATAGTAAATATGAGCTACTCCCACTTTTCGCTGCTGCGTGACGGTAACCATGACCACCGCTGTAAACACTTTACAAATGTAGGAGTGAGCTACGCGGAGCCCATGTATTCAGAATTTTGCAAGTCGGGTTAAATTGACTGCACATTACAAATTTAAAATTTCCTTTTTAAGTGTTTCATAATGCTAATCTACCTAATTATCCATTGTACATTGTAAAATAAAATTATTTTTTTTTTATTAAGAAAATTTGTACAGAGGGCGTCGCCACAGAGCCTTCCCGTACCAACCGACACTGGATGCAAAAGTAGTACGATGCAACAGAAGTACAGAACAAAACTTTATAATGTAAATTACTAACCTTCCTCAGATATTATATCGAATTGAACACATAGGACTATGTATTAACATTTAACTACTAAAATATTTTTAAAATGCGACATATTCAAATGATATTAGAAATAAACTAATTAAAAATATATCAGGGACACTGTACTACTAGATACTACTACAAAGATTATTTTTCGTAAGACATGTGCCCCACTGGGTAAGATTAGAAGCTGCTGCTTCTCATTTGGGAGACACCGGATGTGGGAGCGACAAAAAGAATGAAAAAATCCTTGAGTCGTAAGGGATTAGCAATATACTGCAGGTAGATAACAAAGAAACAAAATTTAATGAGAACTACTAAAAAACTGTATATTTTATACAATAAAGAATTTCATAGTGAAATTTCGTTATAAATTTAGGTGGGGTAGGTACTATTTAAACATATGTTACTAGAAGAATGATAATGTAATTCTTGAGCATCAGTGAACTGAAAAGTTGCCTGGTCAACAAGTTCCTCAACTCCGTACTATTGCTGCAATTAACCAAAGGTTTCTACAAAAAGATACTTTTTCAGCTCGTATTGAAGAACAATAAGCTCGTACATACTTTGTAAGAACCGTAGATACTGATACCTACTGTCGAAGAAAACCCACACAAGTGTAAGAATTGCTGTTGAATTAAATTCTGAGTAAAACTGCGCCAGCTGGTGGACACACCATTTCGAAAACTGTGATCGTAACCTGATTATTAGGATCGAGTTGTTGAGATTTTAATCATATGTTCCGATTCTTTCTATCGGACACAATATAGGATACATGGATTAGCTGTTTTTTTCTAATCTTATGATTTAGACAGTTCACTGGTTTGTTCAGTGTCCAGTCCATAAATAACAATAAACATGCCCATTTTAATAAGTTATAAAAATGTGTTCTGTATTTGATCGTAGATTAAATTTCGTTTAGAAACAGTTACCCGTAATCAGATACTTTCTTAAAAGCAGAAAACAGCTGTTAACGGTCCATTTGATCTCAGATCATCGTTTCTGAAATTCACACCTCACGAAATCACGAATACAGATTACAGTTCACCGTCTTGACGGCGCGCGGCGTCTCAGCAGGTTTCGTTTTTTTATGATTGCGCATACAAAATTTGGGATCTGGTGCATTTTATAAATACCATTAAATATACTCCCAAACAGAATATTGTCTGGAGGTATATACAGGGTGATTCAGAACTTATCCAAAAACAAAAATTCTCGATATACAGGGGACTCATACAAATACAATTTTGTAAAGAAAAAATCAAAAAGGGCAATGTGAAAATTATTTAAAAATGTATTTAAAAATACACTTCTGCACGGCACTGGAAACTGGTCCACTGTAAAACCTGACCTGGCGTAATGCGACCGTCATGGCGACAGTGATAAAAACGGGCAAAAACTTGAACGAATTTCGCAAGGAAAAGAATAAATAGAATTTTATAGCACCTATTTTATATCAGCAAATTCAACTGATTTTGTTCAAATTCATTTGTGGTTTTAAATAATAAAATAATTTGACAAACCAAACCATAAAATAATTTGACAACTGTTCAAAATTTTGTTCACCGACACATTTGGGTCCGTCTTACACAGTTTCTATGAACTAACACATATGCTGTCTTGTTTCACCATAGGTAACACAAATGCTTCACCATAATAAAAATGTTTTCTTACTTCACCATAAACTAAAACGATATCCATCAACTCCAAGTTGTTATACACGAAAGCCATTTTTGACAATAACTACTAAAAAACTATTGTAAACATCGGATTTCAGTGTTCTGAGTCGCAGAGGCCACGTGGCTCTCTATGCGTATTACGAATGACGCTAGAGACTACAGTTGTCCAGCTATGTAATGGTTGAAAGCACTACTTTAATAATTTTTTTCTCGGAAACTATAAGGATTTTACAAACATTTTTTTACAATATTGACTCCATTTCTCATGCCGTATCTATTTCCAATTTGTTTTTAATAAGTTGTGAATCACCCTGTATAATCAAGATTGGGGGCATAAATATTATTCAGCATGTTCTCTGAGATTTGGGATTTCAGCTCAACAGAACAGTAGTTGACCCACATATGAATTCATTTAAAAGAAGCTATTTTAAACACAATACACAATACTTACAAGTAGGTATAGATTCCTATAGATACGTTTATATAGCTTTGTCTAGTTTCCGAATTTTCTCAGAACGACCCTGCCTGTAGCGTCTACCCACATAATCACACTGGATTTAATGCAACGTCCTTTACGCCAAGCCGTTTCTTTTATTGTTGTTTTTAAAGATACGAGGTTCGTGTTTCCATACATAAAGACGTAAAATTCGCTTTGTCCGTCTGTCACAATGGACGATGAATGGGTTTTAGAAATCACAGGTGTTAGATGTATAGTTTCGTGCTCACGACAGCTTATTTGGAAGGTCGAGTTAAAGGCAAATTTTCTTTTATTAGCGTTTGTTATTTACAGCTACTGTCTATCGAGACTGAACTTATAAATCCAACAAAAACGTGTTTTCTGAAAAAATGTTTCAGTGTTTTACTTTCTTCCACACGATTTTTAGTTTTTTATTGTGGGGTATTACAATTTACTCAAATTAGGTAAAGTCTATCTACAGCTATGCTGCAAGTAAGGTTACACGCATTGTTTTAAGTAAGTTGTACATACATTACTGTAGTAATGTAAAAGGTTAATAAAATAATACAAAAAAAACGAAATTAATTTGTTTATTGAAGAAAATGAACGGAAATAAAAAATATTAAAACATTTCTGTGTTTATATATGATACACATTCGCTACAGGATGTTATAATGCCTGGTAGGTATGCTATTGCTATGTTTGATTTTAATTCTAAAAGTTGGTAACCTTAAAATTGACCAATGAATTTAAACATTTTGTTGAAGTTGCGTAAAACCCATTTAAAAAAGAGTTATAAAAGATATTCAAAATCTGTACCACAAGTAGAAGTGATTGTATGGTTTTATTATTGCTGTATTTATGAAGTTTAGAAATTTTTCTTTACACCACTAACATTGAGTTTATAAGCTACATTAAATAGATGGCCATAACGAAGCACTGCAACTAGCACCGCACCAGACCTTAGACCAGAGTCTTGCACATAGAAATCCAAGCTTAGTATTTTTTGGACTCTCGCACAGTACATGATGGATAAAGAAAAATTAATAAGCAGCTTGGTTATTAGAGGGGCGCTCCGGGATAAAAAAAGCAAAAATCACCATAATTGTTTTAACAGAATTATGGAAAGCTGCATTATGAATATATAGAAATATAATCAAATGTATGTACGCTCATTTTGCATGTACCTACTCAAAAAAACGTTGGTTATCTTTTCTTAAATCTTCATAAAGGTGATGGAATTAATCATAGTAACTTCGCTTTTTATTAGAAGTTTTTATTTTTGTTGGTTTGTTGACTTTGTTTAAATTTTGCCAAAAGCCAAATTTGTATACCTTTCCTCTAAACTTACCAACTTTGAAGTTGCATACTTGTGCAGTTCTGATGACAATACACTAAAATTGTAGAAATAACCTGATGCTGCAGCCAGGATTGTCTCTTCACGAGGCACTCCTCAACAGTTAGTAGGAGATAGATAGGAGACTTTGCATATACAATTAATTTTGATAGCTAAACATGATCTTCACTATGTAGTGATGCTGCAACCAGGATTGTCTCCTCCTGAGGGTACTCCTCAACAATTAGTACGTTACCTACTTGAAATGGATACATTGAAAAATATTTCTAAGTAAAAAGGTGTAAATAAATAAACAGTAAAATAAAATATTTTAAAAACAAGATTTTATTAAAGTTCACTAAAAAGAAAAAATAAACCAAGGAGGTCATAAAACCCATAATATTGTGTAAACCCCAAACCCACAAAAGGGATGAATATGGCTACTTTACAGAAGTGTCATCAGCAAGTATGATAAATAGACATGTACTATTTATAATCAGTATGTTCATATTCTTATGCGATTTAAAAGCTTTAGTTTTTAAAATATTTTTTATAGTTTTTATTTATTTAGTGGATGTACTGTCGTCATCGGTCTATTTTTAAGTAAATACTAATTTTTTAAACTAGAATTTAACAAAATATCATCTTCATTCGATGATAATGATAAAAAACTCATGTTTAACATCGTAATCGTTCAGTGACTAAAAATATACTGGTTCTGAATGCTAGGTGCAGTGTGCCAATACAGCCACTAGTCAGCAATGCTCTGTGCGAGGCTCTGGTCTAAGCTCTGGTGTCGTGCTAAGTGCAGTGTTTCATTATGGCCATACCGTAAAAGATAAGTCAAAATAAGGGCTTGCCCATAAATTTTAACATTTCGTTAACCTACTTAGCAAATGTCTAAGTCCACTTTTTATCCAGACAGAGATTTTGGTGGCATTTAGCTGACAGTGCATGAACCTGTCATGCTGAGAAGTCAGATTTTACTGTAGTATTAAACAGCACACGAAAACATCAAAACACATATGTTGAATGTCCACGCATTCGATTCAAGGGCAGAAATAGTCGTAAGTCCACCAAAATCTCTGTCAAGATAAAAAATTGACTTACGACATTTGCTAAGTAGTTAACGATTTGTAAGCCAACAAGATCCAGGGAAGATTGTGACTGACGCCCTCAGATGTAACAAATTAAGTATTTATTTATTATTATTTATCACATATAATACTTTTATTGCCACATTATAACAGTTTAAGTAACAATTTGCCTCTTTTTAAGGCACACTCTTTTAGATCTGACGATGTTGATCGTGCTCCCCCTGGCCACAGACGGCCTGACTTCCCTAAAACTATAGGTCAACAATTAGACGGACCCTCTTGTCGTGTATATCTAATGCCACCAATAACAGTTAAGACATTGGACAGCATACTTCTGATATACAAAGTAGGTACCTCAAAAAAATAGCATCCATATACATATGTAGCAACCACACATTGTTGAAGTAAAATCAATTAAATTTAAGCTTTATACAATAATGCTTCAATTACAGAGACGGTATTTTTGAAATGATTTGACAACTGACATAAGATATCTAAATCAAATTTGGTATACGTTATATATAAAGGTATGGGAAATACAGAAGCAGAAATAATCCTCAAATATTTCATTCCCTACATTAGTGGTGTACGTGAATATGTATGACTCTATGGGTGTAGCTAGGATTTTTGCTTGGGGCGAGCCCAGATCTGCAGGCTCTTTGCAGGCTTCTAATAAAAAAAATCACGCACTTCAAAACCTAAACATTTTCTCGTTTGATTATAAAAAAGTCACGCAATCAACTACTTACCGATATAAAATTTTAAAGCCTAAACACTTTTTGGTTTCACTGGATGGAAAATGTGTTCAGTAATAATAATGCAATTTTTTAAACTTGTAGCATGCAGCTGACTCCATTTTTTTGAAAATATTTTCTCTGCTGATTATGTTTTAAGGAAAAATAACTGAATTTCTGAATGATTTGTTCATCCCATACATATCTCTTCCAATTTCCATTAAAATTTTTAAATTTTTGAGCAAATAGATTTTATTTGCTACTCTGAAAAAGAAAGGAAATTTATGATACCAAACTGACGTTTTCTTGGAAATGCAAGTTTTTTTTCAACCATGTTATATGAACATTTTTTGTTACTTTAAAGAGATGAATCGATTGTTACAAAATGTCTTTTTGCTTTGGATATATGAGTTCATTCAGAGGCAGTTCCTATTTTTTTGGAACAACAAATTGTATCATATCTCTTTACTAGCAATCTAGCAATTTTAAAGGACTAATAGATAGGCAACATATTTTTAAAACAACTGTGTCACACATCCTCCTGTTTGACACTGATGTAGCTAATGAAACGATTGAAGAAGCTTTTTACTGCTTTCCATGGCCTTATAACATGTACCAAATTTTATTTGCTTAGTTCTGAGATAATGAAAAGGCATTTTAAAAGTAAGATTTTAATACCCCTCAACTTTTAACAGAAGCATTTCTGGACTAAGGTAGGTTGACCTCACAATAAACTGATTAAAAAATTGGTCATGTCATATAGGTACAAAAATTGTATCAAATTTATTATTAGTTTATTATTTATTATTAGTAACTTTTTTTATTACATTCTATCAATGACCCGCGAAAATTAATGTGGTCACATTTTCATGTTGAAATGTGGAAACTCTTTAAGGGATGATTCCTAGACTCATACAGAAAAAAAATTTGGATCAAAATGTCCGAAATAATAATAAATTCAAATAGTTAAAATAGTGATACTTAAATTATAATCTTATATTAAGGGGGGAAACCACATTAAGAGGTTAAAAAAATCGGATTTTTTAAAAATTGCATAAATTGTTAGTACAACTATTCAAGAATACGCTACCAAATTTCAAAACAAAATTCATATTCGTTCCGATTTTATGAGCCTAAAACCGAATGCCCATCGGGTAGTCTAGCCACTTATTAAGCAAGAACAGATGTCTATCAAGAAGAAGAAAAACTGTTCAGTTGTGGTGCTGGAATCGCTGATTGATCGAAAAGAACTCTATAAAGGATGATTCACAAATGGTAACCAAAAATGAAAACTCGTATTCTTTGGTGAAATTTAAGGGGTCTTTCCTATAAAGTTTTTATCTAGAACACTTCGTTAAAAAGATACAGGAAAAAATTTGAAATAGGGCACATGTATTTATGTAAACATTGTCCAAAATCTGAGAGCTTTTCTTAAAATTTACATGCTCCAGTGGCGGAGATACAGGGTATCGGTGGCATATTTTTCTAAATGAAATAGTACCCCACTGCTTTACGGTAACAACCATGATATTTTCGGATTTGTCTTTCAATTTTCTACAAATTACTACTATCTTATGTTTTTCGAAAAAAGCCTGATTTTCGATTAAAACTAAAAAAACTAACTGAGAACACACTTCAATATTCAAATATAATGCTTTTTAAAATCATATAGTGGGCTGCAATAGCAACTTTGACATTCTGAGCAGTTAGAAGAAAGAATAAAAAAATGCTTTTCATCAGATTCAAGCAACAATAAATTTCGAACAAATTACATTTTCATTACTAATACCATGTCAGACCTGTGTTCGTGGAAATGGGGGCATTTGAGCATGATTAGTGCTTGTCATGTCGCTTAAAGTAAAAGTGTTTTCAGTTGGTTTTTTAAGTTTTACTCAAAAATCAGGCTTTTTCGAAAAAATAAAAGAGAGTAGTAATTTGTAGAAAATTGAAAGACAAATCCGAAAATATCATGGTTGTTACCGTAAGGCAGTGGCGTACTATTTTATTTAGAAAAATATGCCGTATCTCCACCACTGGAGCATCTAAATTTTAGAAAAAGGCCTCAGGTTTTGGACAATGTTTACATAAATACATGTGCCCAATTTCAAATTATTTCTCTTACTAGTTTTTAAATTATTTAAAAAAATTTTAAATATTTTTACGAAGTTTACTTAACACCATATATCTTTTTAACGAAGCATCCTAGATAAAAACTTTATAGGAAAAACTCCCAACATTCACTAAATACGAGGTTCCATTTTTGGTCACCATTTGCGAATCAACCTGTATTATTGACAACTCTCCCAAATTTCTTGTTTTCGCAAATCTTCCAACGCATTATTCTAAAAACCACATTTTTTTTATTCACGGGAACTTTAACACAAAAAGTCATGAACCAATCGTTAAGAAAATTGAAAGTGTGTTTCTTTATGAAATTACAAAGAACATGAACCAACAACTGGGATATCATAATTTTAAGGGTATTTTTTATTCAAAATAAGTGAAAAAAAATGGCGAAGATCGATAATTTTTTTTCAAATGTGTCAAAACTTCAATTTTCACAATTTTTACCCGCAATGAGGTTCATATTCTTAAAAAACATGTTAGTAATGCAGGAAAGTAACAAGTAACCATTTTACTTTCAAATCAAAATTGCGACCTCCACATTTCACGTGAATAACCAACTCGCACAACACCCTTTGGTGGACAACAGCCCGTAACATCAGCATTTCAACACAAAACGACAAAAAATTTGTAAATGTAGTTTAAAATATTGCTAAAATAATGTCTAAGTTTGATCAAATTTCAATCAATTTCTCCCACTCAAAAAAATTTATGAGAAACGCCTGAAAATCAACCTCCTAATGTGGTTTCCCTCCTTAACATCCAATTTTTCAAACTTAATGTGTAATTTTAATAAAAATCAGAAAACACCTGTTTGTACCTATCAGTTGATATAAAAAAAAAACAAATTTGAGAATATACATGCAACCACTCGTATATTAATTTTTTATTTCACAAATTTCAATAATTTTTTTTTGTCAGAAAAGTTCTCTATGCAGGCCAGAAATCATGCTCTAAAAAAACGATAAGTCCCATACTCCTTTTTCAAAATATGAACACTAATTTTCATGAGCAGTCACTGCATTCTGGCATTTCGATACTTCTTTTTATTTAGTTTTTTTTCCTTTGATATTGCAGTTTCATTAGTCTACAAGTTTATTTATTTGATTTAAAACTTAGTTACTTAAATTTGGTCAAAAAATTAAGCCAAATTAGGCCCGGTACTTTGTCTTGGTTAAAGCCCGATTAACTGATCAAGCGATTAGACTGTATACAGGGTGTCCCGGATATGGAGGGCAATCTCTTGGATATGGATAGACAATGAGAAAATAATGTCACAAGTTTATATAAAATTTTTTCTTCCGGGCTCACCCTGTAGAGTTATTAGCTCTTGAAGTTGAGAATTAAAAATGGTTTTTTTGCTGTAACTTTTGTATTTTTCAATAAATTTTGAAAAATTTTTGGCTGGATCTATAATTTTTGAAGNTTTATTGAAAAATACAAAAGTTACAGCAAAAAAAACATTTTTAATTCTCAACTTCAAGAGCTAATAACCCTACAGGGTGAACCCGGAGGAAAAAATTTCATATGAACTTGTGACATTATTTTCTCATTATCTATCCATATCCGAGAGATTGCCCACAATTTCCGGGACAACCTGTATATACTAATTTATTTTATAAAGTGTATTCACGGTCTAATCGCCTGATTAGTTAATCAAGCCTTAAACGAGACTCAAAGTACCGGGCCTTATTGTACCATGTAAAACAGTACCACAAAAATGACGAACGATAGAACACGTGTTAAGAGTGAGAAATGTAAAACAGATTTAACTAATTCAGAACATACCTTTTTTTACCTTTCTTAGACATGTATATGAACTAGCAGAAAAATTCCTCATTTGCCAATAAAATAAAAAAAATAATTAAATAAAACTTAAAAATTTCCATGAACTATTTTTTAATGAAATACACGAGGTCTTTTCAGAGAAATATTATTTTGCTAAAGACTATTTTGAATCTAATGTAGTCTTCATCCTATTAAGTTTCTACTGTTCGAGGATTTATAACTATATGTATCTATGACTAGATCCTGTTAAAGGTCAAGTATCTCTCTCTTCTTCTAAAATATTTTGTAAATTATACTTTGCACGATATACTATTTCTAAAATTGCTGTACTAAGCACTTCTAGAATAACAAAGGCTCCAAGAGATGGCTGGCAAAAAAGGGTCCAAGGTAAATTCTATAAAAGTTACTTCCATTTTGGTACCACTTAGTATGGTGTGATATGTTTTTTCATAACAATTTTCAAGAAATTATTACTTCAAGTTTATGGTTATTTTGCTTCAAATGTAAGTAATGTTTGAAAACACTGATAAATCGGATATTATCATGGAAAATGTATCACTGTGGTCCACAATAACTGGGGAAATGCATTTTCTGAAGGATCTAGAATTCAAGATCTTTCTTCTAGATTATATCAAGCAAAAATAATTCTACTGAAATTATTTATGATTACTTATCAGGCATATTAGGCATTTCATCTTTCTCATACTTTTCAAGCATAGCTCTAACTAAAATACACTTAGTTAAATGACAAGGACAATATTCAGGATGTTCCACTTCATCTGGGTCCAACATAGTTACTTCTATGGCGTATCTTCTATTATTTTCTTCAGACCTAGTAAGCGTTATATCATAAGCTATCGGACTTCCCCCTTCCACTTGGATGCTTGTGGGCAATACAATCACTGTTTGTTTCCAGTGGGTGGAGGGTTCCTCTGGCTCAGTAGATAATGTAAATGGTTCTGTCACGACACTTGGGAATGTACACGTAAACCAGAGACAAATTCCTGAAATACAAAATAATAATTTATTGAATACCTACCAGTTCACAATCCTACTCTGTTAATTCAAAAATAAGTATCTACGAGTTTCTGATAAATCTTGACACAAAATACGCATCCAACAGGCAATGCCCAACAATAACAGGATATGGTAAGTCTAGTAATAAATTATAAAAAAGTTAAAAGAAAGAAAAATTAACTATGATAAAATAGAGAAAAAAATAGTACAAATTACAAATAACACAAATATAAAGAACAACATAAAAAGGCAACAAACTATAAAAGACAGATATGACTACATAAGTAAAGCATTTTTTATATCATTAGCCAAACAACAAAAAAGATCGACATTATTTTCTCTCTGACTGTACTTGGAAACAATTTGATACAATGGTGATGCTACTAGGATGTTACTACATGCTGTGGGTAGACTAAAAACATTATTACTTCTAGTTGATAGACAGTTCAAAATGTTATGTAGAATTTTATACAAAAACATTACTTCAAAAATAGATCTTCTTTTAGCAAGGGCCATGAATATTGAAACGCTCAAGTAATAGATCATGCGGAAAACCCTGAGGGGGATATGTACCATCCAATAAGTACACAGCTGATTTCATAAACCTACGCTGTACTCTTTGTTCTGTACAAGTTGCAATTTGATTAGCATAAGTTGGGTTTCAGACTACTGATGCATATTCTAATTTAGAACGAATAAAGGTAGTGTAGAAATACTGATAAAGCCTTTGGAATTCCTTATTATGAACCCCATATTCTTAAAAGCAGATGACACAATTATGTCTATATGTTTTGTAAAAGATAATGTAGGGTTAAATGTAATTCCAAGGTCGTTTATGTAATCGGGTCTATGCAATATTATATTATCTATTTTATAATCAAATAGTACAGAAGTTTTTTAGACACCACAGACTAATGACATTAAGCGCATTCTGTAACATATAGCAGTCGGCAATGGTGTTTATTTCACAAAATAGCTTAACATCAACCATGTTGCCGTTTACAAAAAGAACAAAGAGTAAGGGTCCAAGTATAGATCCTTGAGGCACACCAGATTTTTGATGAAACGTGCAATTTAAAACCACGATGCTGAACAAACTGGTACCTATTTTGTAAATACGATTAAAAAAGTTGCAAATATGATTCTGTCACACAAACCTATCTAGTTTGTACAGTAAGAGGTTATGGTCGAGTCTGTCAAAAGCTTTAGATGATTCGTTTACAAAGAACAATAACAAACTGTTACGGCTACGCTTAAGACAATAGCCATTTTCTTGTGCTCTCAGCTTTGAATCAGGATCAGACAAACACGAACTAGATCCAGAAATCCAATTAGAAAGATCAGAATTTTGTTTACTATTAACATTTGATTTGATTTTAAATATCGTTTAGGTATGCCTATAAATAAAAATAGTAACTGCCTTCTTAGAGAAAAAAGAAACCACCACAATTTTAAGGATATATTAAATACGTGATCGTGATCAAAAGTTCGAATCACAGAAAAAGTTTGATTCATAGAGGAAAGGGGACTACCGATCCTGATCATATAATCTGACATGATCCGGAAACAAGAATATGATTTTGGGATCATAACGCGTTTAGATCTGAAAATGCCACCCGAAAAAAAAATAGCTAATGTGATCCTTGATTAGAAGAATAACATCTTGTGAAAAATTACACCAATCACAGCCTGTGAAACAGAATGTTGTATTTTAATGTAATCTTGATCTTATTATTTTGGTTTTACCGACATTTAATAACATCAAGGAAATAAAATTACTGTTTCAAACAAAATTACTGGTCACACGGCTTGTAATCATTTATGAACGCTCTGTATACATGAAGCCAGAAATACTGTACTTGAATATGATACTTATGTATTGATTTAAATGGCAGTACCTAACTACAAATGTTATTGAGAAAAAGCTGTATCGATTAAAAATTTTGTTAGATTAAAACTTTTACAAAGTATTGGTAAATGCTCATAGTAATTATTAAATAGAAGGCAATTAATTGACAATAATATTTTAATTACAGTCAGTACAGCCTTTCAAACATAACAGACTTTAAGTTAAAAGAACGTACCTATCAGAAACCTTTAATTATAATTTTGGATGAATAAAAAAAAATTTATATTTTTATTTACTAGGACTGTGAATTAATTTTGAGGGATACTTTGTAAATTTAAGGCTTTATTGTGAAAAATTGTGTACATTAATATTTTTCAAAGTATCGTCCATTCACTACTTTTTCACATCTATTTGGCAGCACATGAATTCAGCGTCGAAATAACAACTAATTTTTTGATGCTATCCATCAATTGATCCAATTTTTCGTAACTTAGAAAGAATGGAAGTGCAGCTTATCCAAGCCGTGTTCTATGGATCCCATTTCACACTTCTCACTTCATTAGCAACATGTGGTCGAGTGTTGTCATGACGAAAAATTACTTTATTGTGCATGTGGGTACACATGTCTGCAAGTGACCCTTTTTTAAGTGTTATGTCTAGAGCGCCAGCTTAGGGTTCTAGGAAGGGTGCACGGCGAATTGGCGCCGGCGACCAGATGCTTACTCAGATACCTACGAATGACTCCTTACACGACGGACTCTCCAGCGAACGCTGGCCCCGACAACACGTATTCTTTTCACTAACTAGTTTTCAATAAAAATACTTTTATTTACCATTGAGGGGGAGTTTTATTTGCTGCACACTGAAAGCAACCCTCATGCCTTTGCTCAAACGCATCAATTGAATTCGGCAGCATTCACCAGTGGTGGTTTCGTTCGGTTGAAGCAGCTCATAGTACGCAACACCAAGCTGGTCGCATCAAATAATATAGAGCATGATCTTCGAACCGTGAATATTTGGCCATGTTTATACTTAGGATTATCATATCATATTCATTTTTTATCACCAGTGACGATACCATGCAAAGAACCTTTCTCGTTGCCGTTGAAGCAATTGCTCACACATGAAAAATCGCCGTTCGACATCTCTCGACTTCAATTCACATGGCACCCAATTTCCTTACTTTTGAATTATACTGAGTGCATTTAAACATTTGGAAACAGTTGTGCGATTAACTTTCAACGATTCAGCAGGTTCATCTTGTATTTAACATGATTCTTGGTTGAGTAAAGGTTCCAATTCCTCATCTTCAAACTTTTTCAGTTGACCAAGGGCATTATTTGCCAACTGTATCGAAATCACCACTTCTAAAACATCAAAACCAATACTCCTGTTTTTATCCATGGGTAAGTTTCCAACAGCACTTGAAGACTTTCAGCGACACTTTTCTTTGAATTAAAAAAGAAAACTAAAACTTCTCGCAAATGGTGTTTTGTTAGCTCGTAATTATACATCTTCAGAGCTGAATAAAAATATGTTGTTTACATTTCAGTAAAATGATATAATAAAAAGTAAAGCTTAATGACTGAGCTTTATCCTGAATATAGTTACAGAAGTATCCGAATGAGCTAATTCATCTATTGTAAATCCTTCAAAAGTAATTCACAGTCCTAGTACATATCATATGTTTCCCTACTCTGATTTATATATGGTGTAACTTTCAATGGAAGTCATATTTATATGTAATCTACCTTGATATTTAGAAATACAAATCATAAGCTAGTTTCTCAAATCCTATCATACCCCATACCATACCGCTTTTCTTACCCCACTGCTTGACATGCTACTCTAAGCTCAAATAACCAGCCATGAGCTTCAAAATGTGACATGTTTATATTTTTAGCAAAACGTGTTGCAGTGCAGAATTCGATAAACAACACGAAACAGCACAATCTGGTTAAAACCGCCGTCTAATTTTCTACAGAATTGTGACTGTGATAAAAAAGGACAAGAAACAGTTTTTTAACTCCACTCCTAGTATCAACCCTAAAAAAAACTGACTCCCACTTAACCCTTTCGCTACGGCTACAATATAATCTTTTCTGCTTTAAAAATACTATTGGGTTATATATGTGCCAAGGAAATTTTAAAAAACACTGCAAGCATACCACTGCATTATAAATCCCTATTCAAACTGTCCCAACCGTGCTGCTAGTACTAGGTATATATTCGCGTACACATCAGTCCACCTTATTAACACCAGTCTTAGTTAACCTCAAAATTTATTAAAAAAAAATATTATTAAAATTTAAAATGTGGCATGCTAAAAAGATAATATTGAATAAACTTGTTCTGAGGACCTATAAAAGTATTATAGTTATACAAAAAAACGTATTTTCAAAAAAAACTTCCACCGTATTTTTGAAACCTAAAATGCCGTGGGACATATATGCCCTTTAGTGGCGAAAGGGTTAAAGCAACATCCTGTATAACATAGTAATTGAAACCATAAACATTATTTCTGTCAGTTACAAATTTTATGTTGTCTCGAATTACCAGGAAAAATTGATAAATGTATTGAATTAAAACAATATTAAAAATATACCTTGATACTGCCCTTGCTTATTAGCTACTGCAACATGTCTCATTTCAATAGACTTAATATCGTCAAGTGTAACCTCTCGAAGATCCAACCAAATAACTACTTCAGGATCACATAATAATGCTTCAGGTGTTACAATTTCAGTTAATGGTTTTTTGGACGCATTTTCTCTTATTTTCATTCCCAAATGTTGCATGGATACCCCATCTACATCTTGCCAATATTCATACATTGAAGGTACACTAAAAATAAAGTCAATCTCAGGGTATAATCATACGATAGGTGCAGACTTCAATAGAATTAAAATATTAACTGCATCAAAAGTTTTAGATGTGACAATAACAAATCTAACATGCTGTTTAAATCAACTTTGCAAATTATTGTTTAAATTAATCTTACTGTCTGAAATTTGTGGCATAATTTTCATTTTATTTTTTTTTATTTTTGGGTGATTTGCAACCTATGAAATAAACCCTTGCACCGAAACGATCAGCTAAATGGCAATTTTATGAAAATAGACATACCTAACCAAAAATCTCAAACAAATTGAAACTTAAAAATAATTAAAAACGTGAAGTCATTATATGATCAGATAGATTTTCGAAATGCTAACAACTTTTTAAAGTGTGCAATATACAAGGTGATTCAGCTTTAATCTGGATAACTTCAGGAATCGATAAAACAGGTTAAAATAATGTTTGTTCATGATATAAACTTATTCCTTAAATGGCACCATTTCGGAGATAGAGGGCGTAAAGTAGGAATTTTTTTCCCGTTTTTCCCTCATAACTTTTGAACTTAATAATACTTTTAATGATGATTTTCACAAATGTCAGTTTATACAAATCACTGCGAGTTTTGTTTTTCATGGGTTGCTATAACGATAAATGAAATTTATACGGCTGGGGCGCTACCTTGGGCGCTACACTGTCACGAATTTCATTGAATATCTCAGAAACAAGACCAAATATCGAAAAAAAAACAAGACGAAAAAGTTTCAAAATTAATGAGGCAAAGGTGGTGTTTTATTGAAATTAATTAATTTATTTAAAGTTTTGAAATAATGCAGCACACAAAATACACTTCTAAGAGGGGTAAATGGTTCAAACTTAAGCAGCTCATGTAAGATCATAAGGAGTGTTTGTCTTCCGAATTTCACTTCAATCAGATGAGTGGTTCAAAAGTTATGAGGGAAAAACGGGAAATTACTACTTCAACGCCCTCTATCTCCCTCTATAAGTTTATATTAAGTAACATTATTTTAAACTGTTCTATCGATTCCTGAAGTTATCCAGATATTAAACCTGAATCACCCTGTATAGTGCTGTTTTTTGTATTTGTCTATTTTTTGGGAGATTTTTAGTTGGGCAAAATTATTTTCACACAAATAACTCCTGACTTATCCTTATTTTGGTAATTTTTTTTCACAGGCAAAATATCCAATAACTAGGAGAAAAACCAATTAATCTTACCTACAAGGTACTGAGTATAAAGTAGCAGATTCAGGAAACATTAGTCCATCTGGTTTTAAAAACTTGTCTCTAGCTATTATAACAGAATCCAACATTGCTTCATGTAATAAATAAAATCCCATCCATTCCGACACAATTATGTCTACTTTTTCAGGAAGAATAACATCCTCGACTTTTTTATTCAAAACCTACAAAATTGTAATATGAATTTTTACTTGAATACTTCAATTACCTAATTTATTTAATTTCAATACCTTAATTACATCTTCATATTTGTTTTCTCTGACTATTTGTTCAGCAATTCTAGATATATTACTGGCTTCAACAGCATATACTGTCTTTGCACCGGCTTGGGCGCAATACACAGATAGAATACCAGTTCCTGCTCCAACATCCAACACAACTTTATCTTTAAACTCATTTTTATTACTTAGAATTGCATCTTTGTATGCCCTATTTCTTGGTCCATCTTGTAACATTAATTTATGCACCTTCAAATAAATTCAAAAGTGTTACATACTGTTTTTTTTAATGTTATGTTTCATGATATCAAGAACCAATCTCATTGGAAAACTTTAATGAGTACCTACGATCCTTGTTTTTATTATAATTCAACAGCAAAATTCATTGGTAGGTAATTGTGTTATATTAACAATTGACCAAGTGTCACCAATAGATCTACATTAAAAATTAAGTAGTCCATTGTATCTGTTTTAAGCAGTGGCATAACATTTACTCTTTATAAAAGGATCTCAAGAATAAGTTTATACACCACTGATATTTTTGTATTTACATGGAATTGTGCCTGGTGAGTCTCCAAGTCAAATAAGAAAAAAATGTATATAGAAAATCGTTCTTTCGACTTCGACACACCCCACGAAATACGTAGCTTTTTGCAGAATTTTATTTGAATTATATCCCTTAATTTTCATCGTAGAATCTATTAATGACATTTGGCTGATCAGTAGCTGAGCACCGGGAATATTTTTATATTTATATAAGTAATAAGATATTTTTATGAAAGTCTCCATGTCAAATAAGAAAAAAATGTATATAGAAAATCGTTCTTTTGACTTCGACATACCCCACGAAATACGTACCTTTTTTCAAAATTTTATTTGAATTATATCCCTTAATTTTCATCGTAGAATCTATTAATGACATTTGGCTGATCAGTAGCTGAGCACCGGGATTTTTATATTTATATAAGTAATAAGATATTTTTATGAAAACAAAAAAGTAATAAGTACAAAACATAAAAACAATGAAAAGAGAAACATAGATTCAGTGATTTTATTAACATTGGTATTTGTTAAGAACATATGGTTGCATTATGTATCAAAACTTAGATTACACAAGACACTGATAACATAGATAAAAAATATATGTAGTATAAATCCACAGACAGAAAAATTGTTTGACTGTTTACAATTGATTTGTTCTTCAATATTATTTGGATACGTTTTCAAGGAAAGGTTATAGTATTATGTATTTATAATTATAGCTCCAATTATCATTTTGCTTTCAATTTTATCAATCTCTAATTACCTACCTGCAATAACAAACAGTACTCAAGTAAATAATAAAACACAAAACTTAAGTATCATTACACAGCAAATGTTTCAGTAAGTCTAGTTGTTTGAATTTTGCATGTAATATGGTTAAGGCCAAGGTTTTTATTTTTGAAAAACAATTTGATGGATCTCCCAAAGAAGGTGATTTAAAGATAATAGAGGAAGAGCTGCCACCAATAAAAAATGGAGGTACGATTTTTTCAATTTCAGTAGTACTTGAAAACATTAAAAAATTAAAATATCGATTTGTTTTACTAATATTAAAACTGCGACAATAATTACAGGAAATGTTTCTCATGATTTTCATTAACGCAATAATAAATAAATATTTTAAGTAATATTTTTATGAACAATTAAAAAAAAGAATAATACCTAAATAACAAAATTGTCCTCAATTTCCTTTAAGGGGATTCATTAATTTGTTGTATAGAATTTTTAGCTGAAGCAGTTTATCTCTCCGTGGATCTGTATATGAGGGCATATGCGCCAAGTCTCAAATTAGGAGAAGTATTCGTAGGAGTACAAGTTGCTAAGTAGATATTTTAAATGAGATAGAATTTAATATAAAATCGATATTTTTAGAATAATTGAAAGTAAGCATCTAAAATTTCCTGTAGGCCAACATGTGACTTGTCACTTTGGTTGGAGGACACATACAATCTCTGACGGAACGCCGATACGAGGAGTTTCGCCTACCTTAGTGCCAGATTTAGGTGATTTACCGTTATCGTTGGCACTTTGAACTTTTGGAAGACCAGGGTAATTATTTAGAAATATCAGTTACTTACACAGATATTAGTTAAATATCAGCGCAAACTCGATAAAAAAAATACTTTAAAAACCTGCATTTTGAAGAAAAATAATAGAAAAAATTTTCTCATTTTTAATAGTTATTTATTAAATTATTTCAATAAAATATAAATGTACCTACTACTAAGCTACACGAATAATACTTCTAGAAATTCGGCATATTTTGGCTTTTTGGAATTATGTAAACCAAAAGCAGGTGAGACAGTTGTTGTATCTGGAGCTGCTGGTGCTGTTGAGTATCATGTATGTCAGATAGCCAAAATTAAAGGTTGCTAAGTAATTGGAATAGCAGGATCAGATGAAAAAGGAAAATGGCTCTTGGACGAATTAAAAGTTGATAAGTTCATCAACTATAAAGCTGAAGATATTGACAAGAAACTGACTGAGTTGTCAACTGAGGGTGTAGATTGTTATTTCGATAACGTAAGCAAAATAATTTTTCTATAACCATATTGAACTTGTACTACAAATGTACTGTGTGCAAAATAAACTTGATGTCTAAATTCTAGCAATACAATTGCTTTATAGGTTGGAGGACAAATTAGTAGTACTGTACTATGCCACATGAATTTATTTGAACGGATATCTGTGTGCGGTTCCATATCGGGATATAATGAACCAATTAAAGGCTAGTAAAACAGAAATTTACTTCTACATTCATTTAGTATCATTTACGTTTAAACATGTTAGTATTAAAATGTACGATACTAATTTCTCTTGTTTCATTTTTAATGTTTAGCTACACCAGTTCAGCCTTCCATTATTTTAAAACAATTAAAATGCAAGGGTTTCTTATTAATAGATGGATTGATAGATGGCCCGAAGGAATACGTCAAAACTTGAAATGGGTAAAAGAAGGCAAACTGAAATACAGGGAGACTATTACTGAAGGATTTGAAAACATGTTTACAGCATTTATAGATATGTTGAGAGGAGTAAATCTTGGAAAAGCAATTGTTAAAGCATAGTTTAGATAAGCTGCTTTTAAGTGCCTGTGATATACTACTTTCATGTGGTGCTAATATACCGTTCTGCAAAAAAAATGTGGTGCTTTATTTACCGCTCCCAAAAGCAATAATAATTCAAACTGACTTTTAAAGGCTGTTGATATAATAAATTTTCTATCCAAAAACAAAATAATAGAACTGATATCTTTATATCTATTAACGAAATGCGGAAGTACTCTTGAGTAAACTTAGTGATAATTATTATGTACTACTTACATCTAAGTCCTCGTAGCTCTCAAAATAATCCGATGTTTCCATAGCTTCCATAGCTAAATTTATAATTAATATTATTTAACAAAATGTGTTTCTTCGCATTAATGTCAATAATAACATAACCTATTATTTACTTTTACTGTTTACGTTTATTCTTACTGTTAAATGAATCTATAGCGCTTTCAATAGCTGTATTTGTTTTACCACTTGGTTAGTTCAGTTTGGGCAAGTTGACCAAATTAGAAGTGACCGTGATTTGAACAAACTCTAGGTTAAACAAAACATACATCTACTCCATTTTAAATTTTGACATTTGACGTTTGTTCAATTTCAGTTTAATTAGGTTGTTGTTGTCAATCATACTGTGCCCAACATACTTACAATCAACATATCTTCTTCGGATGAATCCATATCCATTATCAACGGCTTATTTTTGTTATTTAGATTTATGATTATTATTATTTGTAGGTTATGTTTTGTTCGGTTATCTTGTTCACTTACTAACCACGATATTAGGCTAGGTTAGATCGGAAAGGGGGGAA